TTGCCCATTAAAACAGTAAAATAGGGAAATTGATGGCACCGAACGCGGGCTATCAGCGCTGATAACGGCGTTTGTTTTAGCCTGGGGGCCATATTGGTAGCTGTGAACGTTAACTGAATTTCACATCAATCAATATTAATTTCCATTAATGCCAAACAACCGTGCTCCTATCTGCGCACACCCTCATGCTGCTATGTGTGCGTGTGTAGTTTCGTTTATGTGATATGTGCATCTGTGCGTGTAAGTTTTGATTCGTTTACACCTGAAGACACGCAAGCACATAGCTGCACACATATCACACGCATACGCAACATAACGGGAAACTTGTGTACACACAATAAACATGTTTTATATTTACTTGGGGGTTCACAGCGCTGGCAAGGCGGCAAGGTGCGACGGAAGGCGAAAAAGAAAACCAATGGAGGCGCAAAAATTAAATGAAAATGAAAGGTCGAAAAGCCGTTAAGGGCAACAAGCTGGCACTGCAGCCATCCCAATGGTCATGCAATTAAATGTGCGGCAGCCAATATGTAAGCGCAGATGTCTGCTCGTCTATCAAACCTTCACAGCATCGCCCTCATTGCAGTTGCCACAAATGAGCGTGATCCTTTAATGCCTATTGGCGTATGAATGCGCACGTGTCCATACCTCAAATAGCAGGAGATGCTGTGCCGTAATCGGTAGCTAGCTAGTTGCGGTTACACAGTCACACAGACGCAAGCGTACTTAGCAGTTAGTGTTGGTCTGCTTGTCTGCCGCGTTGGCCGCGCGTACAAGGTGTTGGCCAGCCTACGTGCCACCTATGCCGAGGCGCACACACGCAAACAAACGCTGGCAATCGGCCGTATTGACAGCAGCCAGCCTGCATTGAAGCTAGTCATTTACTATGAATTTTCGCACATTTGCGCACCAGGCACGTTCATCGATATGAAAACAAAACGGATATCCGCAAATTACCACTTTTAGGCATTTCACTCATTCGACCAGACATTCATTCATTCGTTCATTCGAACAATAACATTCATTTCGACATGCGCACACAGTCGCACTGCCAGCTACTCGTGGCCACACACATACAAGTGTAAATATATGTCAGGTAATGCTATTATAGCTGTCGGAATTATGATAGGTGGGCACACGCCATTTGGGGTGCTTTGTTTGCAGTGGCCATTTGTTGCGTGGCGTGTGAGTAAGAATGATTGGTATTCATGAGCCACTTCTGGGCATGGTTGTACGGTTTCTGCGCATACACTTTGAGACTAATTCGGTTGAGCATCCGCAAAGTGATATGGCAATCACTGCGCTTCTGTTACTACAATACAGCTATCATATGAGGACTTGACTACGTCGCATCAGCACATGTTAAGTAAAACACTTCTTAAAGCTTTTACTCAGCGAATTGTCATTAGTAGAGATATCTTGGGTGGCCAAATACAGTATGATTCCCAACTTGTATTTATTTAAGGTTTTGCCCAAAACTATAATCTGCACATATTATGTAGTATAGACTAATATCAAATATTAATTTATATGTACACATGTCTGTTTGATATACTAATATAATATGTACACTGTCGCTCAACTGAATAAACTTCGATTTCAGAATTAGTTGAACAGAAAAATAACAACAGTTAAATACGAATTTTCCTCCGTCTCACATTCTCTAATAGTGCTGCCATTTCTAGCCCACCACAATATGGTAGGTTAGAGGTGAACCATATGTGTGTCTGATGTAACCTGAATAGAAAAGGGATTATTAGTACTTGTTTATTTCATACGAAACAAATCTTTATTCCCAATCGAAATATTTTGTGAAAAGCTACAGCCCCATTACTTGTGGAATGTGTTGCACCCATTAATTTGAGCGGCATTGTACAAACATACATATGTACTTCAGTGTGCGCGTGTAAGTAACTCGCACGGCAGCGTGCCTTTTATTGTCTGATTCTTAGCTTTCTGCACACGTAAACACAATATTAATCATAAATTAATACTTAAAAATTATACTTGAAGAAATAAGCATTCGTACGCATTTGCAAATATGTGTGTCTACGGTATAACGGTTGATTTCGCATATCCAAATGCCAATGCAAATAGCTTTTTATTACATGAGCTGAGCATCCGCAAAATCTTTTATTGTTCATGTAACATTTGTAGAATAGACGGTTGCAAGGGCCGCAATTTATTGCCATTCCTAACAGCAAGCAAAAAGAACGCTTTTTTCTATTTCAATACGCAAACAAGTTTGAAGAAAAATGCGTAATTGCCTGCCAAAAATTTTTGTATTTCTATTATGTGACCCACGCAACTGCTTTCGCCCGGTTTCTTCAATTTATGGGCACTGTTCTGATATCTCACAATAATGAAAATCTAATAATAAGCATTTGTTTATGCTTGCAAAACACAAAAAAAAACATAAGTAAAAACTCAGGTCAAACTGGCGCCACAATGGCGCTTTAATCGTAAATTCTCGTCTAACAGTAGGCGGACAACAACAGGTACTCATACCGCCAATGTAAACGCACTGAAACAACAACAACATATTTGATAGTTCCTTTCAAAGTGGGTTTCAATTGGAATTGGGAGAACTTATTTATTTTTAACCAGAGAGTTGAAGCTTCTGAGCTATGGACCTAAGGCTGCGCAGGACATTTGGATCTATGCGAGTCAGTGAAATTAGAACCAATCGGAGGCAGTTAGCCACATGTCCATTTCTGATCTTGTTCGAAGAAACAATATGTATACTAAAGTTTACATTATAGATTAGGAAAATAATGGAAATGAATTGCATTATAAGGACAGATCTCAACAAAAAACTTCAACAATCGCACCCTATTCATATTTTCACATACACACGCACATATTTATACTTTGTTGTTGCTAATAAGTAGTAGCGAAGCCGGTAAAAGTTTTGTGGCACCTATGATTTATCCACACTCTTGGGTAGGACTGAAGGACGGATTCTTACATATTCATATTTTGGGTGGAGTGGTCAGCTCCTGATTGGAAAGAATGAATGTGCATTCTTTACACATCCGATGTATGTAGCACCTTTGGCCAACGGCGACCTTGCCCACCGATGCTATAAATCACACATATGTAAGGAATGTGCGCTGTAAATGTATTGACGTTGCGTCCGCCCCAATTTATGGGGAATTTATGGCTGCCACAGAGTTGCTGAAATGCGGTTGAGGTTGCAAGTAGTCGTCTGCTTGTATTTTCGTGCGCGCTTCACTTGAACTCTCATTCTACTAGATTCACTTTAATTACAACAAAGCAATCGATTTATTTTCCGGTAATTTCATACATTTCTTTGCAGTTTGTTTACTGTTACACTGGCCTTGTGGTTATAATTGCAATGATACAGTTATTATATCCGCTAATTAATATATGTATGTTTATATTATATATGTATGCCCGCAAGCACATAATTCACAACATGGATGTGTGCGTTAAATCATAAATTCCTATTAATGGTATATAAATTTAAGTCAAATGCCAATATCGAAGAATTTATTAGCGACGCTTAACTAATTAATGGCGCTACTTATTTATATCCGAAATGGACTAATTGCATTGGTTCCTCTCAAAAATACCAAATAATACAAATTTATGAATTTTTGTGGAGCAAACCTTTTTAAATACTCGACTTTCCTCCAAGTATAAAACCAAAAGAGCTTTTCTTGTGTCAACGATACAATTTTATTAGTTATTAAGCTTTTTATTGAATTTTCAAAAAGAAGTGAAGTTCGCCAAATGGTTACTTCTGACACATACAAACATCCATGTATGTATAGATATATGTATATATTTATGTCATTTTGTTTAATTTGTTTCCAAAACTATCAATTCGAACGGTAGAAGAATTCCGAGAAAGTATGTAATTCACTTTAGAAGCACTTTCGAACTATATTATTGTGTGAATGCGAATAACTCTCCGCAACCGAAATGCATAATTGTAAATAGCAAACTTATAGTTAAATGCAAGTGAAAACAGAGAATGGAAATGGAAGACGAAAAATAGGAAGAAAAAAATTGAATTAAATCGAGATGGAACAGGGGTATCTCTGATATGAAGAAAAATACCACAAAATTATTTGAAAAAAATTAACAAAGCAAGGAAAATAGATTTGAAACTAGCGTTCTCAGTAACAACAAACACATACCAGCGAGACCGAATTGAAATATTCTTGTGGTAAAAACTAATGAATTTGTGCGAGTGCTCGGTATGAAAGCGGCGTTGGAAGAGAAAAAATATTCCATATCAAAAGGCAACAACAACAATTACCAGCACAGAGGACTAGGTGATATTGTTGGACACTGCTCTACCCAACCCAAGTTTTTGTGAGCGCAACTTGGTCACTGGTCCGTCATGAAGGACATGTCTGCCAAAGGCAGCTTTTCAAGCTGCGCTATTGCCGAGCTAAAAGCGAGATATCCAGTTACAAATATTTTGTTTTTGTGGTTCCCCAATGCTTTTTGCATAACATTTGCGTTGAAGAATAGAAAAAATTATTAATGTAGCTGATACCAAGATCGAAAAGCAGAGTAAAAAGATTAATACAATTCTTGTTTCACAACTGAAAATAAAACGAAAGCCAGAACTGATATAATTTAAAAATAACAACGAAATAAGTACCATTAGTTACTTCTTCAATATGTATTTCTTCTTCAATATGTATTTTATGTATGCTCTCTTGTAATATATTAATCTTTATCTTAATCTTTACTTTTCTTACCAAAAATTTAAACGTAGATAGGATTGTTATATAGAATGCGTGAAAAATCTTAGTGACCCTTTTAAAGCCATGGTCTTCCTTATAACTAATGAAAATATAGGAATCATTCTTTTACCTCATTGCACACATGAAAACATGCACACAAAGCACTTGTTATGTCCCCAGTTCATTATGGCACAGTATCATTATCAAGCATTTTCAGGAATATTTTATGTCGACAATCTAGTTTTACTAATCGCTCTCTCTCTCTTTCTCTCCCAGGTTATAAGCGCGTCGCTTGGCCGCCCGTATCCGAGGAGCGCGTTGTTAGGGAATTCACGCCCCAACCAACCTCTGCCCACTATCCAGTGTCAGGCTCGCTACCACAACAGCCAGGACAACAGCAGCAGCCACTTCAACAGCAACAACAACAACAGCACACTGCGCCAGCCAACCAGGTAATTACTGTAGTTACCAATGCATTTTACGCATTACAAATTAAACTAAATTAAAAGCGGTTACCAACTAAAATACAAATACACAAACGAGGAGTAAAGTGCGGAAAAGATTATTAAACATTGTACAGTGACTTAACGAAATAGCGAAGTATGAATAACGCCTGTAAAAACTACTGAGCATATTATACAGCAGCCCCTCATCTTACACCACTGGTTTATCGACTGGCCTTCTGTAACAATTGTATATAGCGCTCTAAATATGTAAATATTGTATATATGCACACATATCAAATTAATTATTAATCCCTTATAAATATCTATTAATTTTGTTATTGCACATTCTCCCATCGCATACTCTATTTGATATCTGGCTCTTTACTTGGATTAAATCTCTGCTACTTTGAACATTTTCATATTGAACTTTAATATTTTGCCCTCTACAGAATTCAAGAGATATACTGCAGAACATACTTATCACATCAAACTATAAACCAAGTTATTCTATGCCATGACTTTTTCGAGTTTTGCTACACTTGTTGCAACGTACGAATCATGTGCAATTATTAACTGGAACAAAAAATATAAGAACATTTTTACCAAGCGCATATCAAAACATCAGCTGGAAATTGTAAACATTTATATTTATTCAAAGATAGTATATCTATTGAACTTCACTATTATTTTTTTAACTTCTCCTCTGTAAGGAAACCAATATCTCCAAAAAACTTCTAGTGCCTTTGTTACCTTCTGAAATTTAGGTTATGTAAATATTTATGAAGCATCCTTACTCAACTGTCTAACACTTTTAAAACTAGAATTTCGAAATTTTTCCTGGTAAAGCGCATCTCTAAAATATTCGACCGATGTGTATTTTAAAAGTTTAAACTGAATTGGCTCGCTTCAGTTCCAGATCGGATGGTGGTTGAAGTTATGCTCTGCAAATGTACATTTACATTGTTGACATTTAAAATTAATTTTTACTTCAAATATCCAACCAACCAATTTTGCTCATATTATAACATATATGCATATTGAAGCTTCAGGCTCCTTCCTGAAACTGATCAAGAGGATCAACAAACTGTCTGTAAGTATGCTATTCATGGTGGGATATCTTTTATTTCTCCACCAGCATTCGCCGTTTATTCGGTTTCCGGAACTCATTGTACAATTTCATATAACGGTAAATTATGCAAATGAACTTTGTGAATACTCACGCGCGCACAACAATCACAAGGCACACATACAAAACTCGTGATAATAAAAAATGCCAATTTTTTGTGGCATTCAGCGCCACCACAAAAAGTCAAACGGCATCACGCGTGCAACAATTCGTTGCACACACGCCAAATGAAAAAAGAGTTAGTGGTAAGAACTTTGGCAAACAACATTAAAATAGCCAAGGGCGCAAAGCACAAAACGCGCATCGCATTAAAACAAATTTGAGTTCGGTTAGCCCGAAACAGACTATTTGAAAGCAAATAGGAGTCTGTACATATGCAAACGGACATTCTCTCCGCCATGCATTTTTGTGCCTCGGCCTTTTCGCTTGTTGAGTTTCACACACACTTTTGTAGTGGAAACCTCAAACTTCAACCGCAACAATGCTATTGGCGGACAAAAAAATGGCGGCAATTAAAATAAATGGCATTTTTCGCACTATGAATTACTACAAAATTGCAATGAGCACATGGGCACACGCGCATGCTTCCACAGATGAGCTGAAGCGGCAATGAAGTAAAATTGCAAGAGAGACAATGCAATTCGTGGTCACTACAGCATCAAATAAATAAGATAAAAAAACATAGCAAACAAAAGTTAATTTATTTGTTAATCTGTTTAATTCTTTTTAGCCCACATTCATGCATTTGTTTAACGAATTGTCACATAAAAAATAATAGCCACAAATGGACACAATTTAAAAGGTAACGAACAGAAATTAAATGCCGCAGCCCACAAAATTAAAAGCGAGCGCGCAACACACTCCAGAATGCAATGTTACGCATACACCACGCCTGACGACGTCCAAGCGGTTTTCCTTTGTAGCTTTCATGAACATAGCGACTTTGGCCAATTAACTGTACCTCACTGTATTGCCTTGCCCATTCATTAGTTGGCTTGTGATTTATGCAATCAACCCTGCTTTACCGCCCTACAAGCGTCTCTATAAGCCTCCCCAAGCACTGTACTCCGCAGTAGCTCCGCTATGGCATAACTTAGTAATTAACATTAACACTATGGTAATTTGCGAGCATTTCTGTCCGTAGACCTGGATGCCACTTATAGAGTGTTCTCATATGTACATGCGAGTATTTGTACCCAGCACATATAAACAGTTACAAACGTGTGCGTATTTATTATTTTGTTTTAGAACAAAGGATAAAAAGAGCTCTGTCCTTCTCGGCATTCTATTCAAACCAGCTTCTCTTTGTTTCGCTGTAAAACTTTCTCTGCTGCGGCCAAGCACGGTTTGGGCTCATAAATTATTTCTTTACTTGTAAATAGTTGGATACTTAATAGTAATTAAGCCAGGGCGCAAATCTTCGGAGCATGCTTCAAAGGGCGCACACCCGCTCACCCTGGTGGGTTTGGGAATACGCTCTCGTATGTACGTACAAAAGTTGCTTTATAAAGGTTATGTACTATGCCATTTCATAAAAACTGCATCGCAAAACTGGCAAGTTCCAGTATAAGGGATATATTTGTTAATCTGACAAAATATGAAGTCGTTGCCCGTTGTTTGTTGAAATAAATGTTTTTAAATATTTTTTTAACTTTTAATCACTGTAATTTACAAAGCTTAAAACTTAAACCGGCTTCAGTTTCCTTAAAAAAACGTGTTGCCCGACGCTGTACTCCCTACACTGCTTAGTTAATTCACTGCTAATAACTAAGTTATGTTTCTTTCCTTCTTTGAGCCAAAATCATTTGTCAATAATAATTCTTCATATACATATTATATGAGCATAGACGTATGGCGGCATCTATGTAACATTTGGTATAAATGTATAGTGCGTCATGTCGACATACAAACATACATGTATGGAAATATTTATCCTTGCACAGCCGTTATGTAGGATGTGTGATGTGTTGACTCGTAAGTGTGCAATTGTATGGATCTGTGAGTGCTTTGCAGCTGCCATAAATGAGTTGGTCATGGGAAAGTTAACGAGCGCTTAAATAGGCCTCTTGGGGGACGTTAAACGGAAAATATGACTGAAATTAAGCAAAAATCCAACAAAGGATCTAACGACTACCACTGCAGCAATGCAACAATAAAATGGACAATGGAAAACCTACGACTTCACACGGCGTTTGTTTGGCAGAAAGCCTGCCTGACTAGGCCCCATATGCATATTATACGGACATACAAGTATGTACAGATCTTATTCCGTAAATATACACAAAAATTTTACTAAATGGGTTCTGAATGGGTACTGAAATATTATTTACTATCATTTGATTGGAAATTTTAAATAAAGAACGAGCAGAATAAATCTTTGCAAGAATGAACGTTTTACAAAAACTCCGTCCAAATAATTTTTCGTGCATCAGTTTTTCAAGTCAGTTCCTTCTATAGCATTTTTCATGCAGTACTTATTGCTAATTATTGGCACACACATTGCGAAGCTTATCCTTTGCTTGAATATATGTATATAATTTTGTTGAAATAGGTGAAAGGAAACTCTCAAAGAGATCGATAGAAAACAGCGCAAGTAAGCAAAGAGGCACAACTAGTCTCCATTACTGCTGCTTTACATAAACACTAACCTAACTGAAATACTCATTTGCCACCGAAGTGGCAGACATTCACAAGTACATATAAAAACCATTTCGCAGATATCTTGATTCTTGAAATAAAATAATGTCAGGTCGATCCTCAAACAAGTTTTACGAAAACTAATCGAGTTCCACCACCTAAATGGCTTAATGTACCTATCTTCTAAACCGCTTAAGATATATCAACCAAGCTCGCTAAGAAGAAGTCATTTTATCACCTTTTTTAAGTCTGTGAAAATGGGTAACATCGATGATAACCACGCCCACTCAGCATATAACGTTATGTTGAAAACTACTTAAATTACGATTACTCACTAAATGAGCCACAAGCATTCAATCTTACAACCAGGATGGTAGAAAAGGGCTTTATGGGATCTGGGGTGAAAATTTGACAAGGGGCGTAGCACCGTCAATAAAGTTATCAGCATAATACTTTGCACAAATAGTGCTCTAAAGGTATTTCATCTTACGTCCAAAAATTGTCGAAATCGCACTATAACTTGTGCCAAAAATAGCTAAAAGCAGCACTTCCCTTACCCCCATATACCTAACATAAATATTTTCGAACCTCCAGTTCACTTTTTACCGCATCTAACGGTCAATATGTAAGAAAGCTTAATGAAATTCAGAAAAAACCTGAAGGGTCCGCCTTTGTTCCTTTGCAAGTTGCAAGAGTATGAAATGTTCGATTACACCCGAACTTCGCCCTTCCTTACTTCTAAAATTCTAACATTGTCTGCTAATGTAAAAGATCCAGTGACGTGTAAAAAATATTAGAGGGGTGTGTGATACTTTTACGCCAGCACACATTCGCCCATTAATTCACAATGACAGCATGGCGTATACGTAACACGAATTATTAAAGACGCCAGCATTTCGCCAACCAACCGAATTGCCCCAGCCAGCACCCACAAATGACGAATTCCATCATTCCGCCGACAGCAGTCGATGTGTTGCTGCTCTGCGTATCCTCGCACGAGCCACAAGCTGCCCATCTAGGCAAATGCATCGGTACACGTTGCAGCTGCGGCAGAGCGATGAATGCACAGCAGCAGTCGGCGCAACCATGACGAGTGAGACTTTCGCAATTCATATTAAATTTGCATAATGTATTTATGCCCGTTGATTAAGTGTGAGCAAGTATGAGTTAGTGCCAGGCAGCGTTTGCAGCAAGCATGCGTCCGCGCATATTTATATGTATGGAAGTAGGTATGTGTGACAGA